AGAAAACCGAAGATTACGTTTTGCATGCTTTATACAGTGGTGACGATGATACTGATGGTGCATGAATCGAAAATTTCTCCTTACAAAAGCAGCGGGTTTGCAATTCACTTTGTTATTATTAAGTAAGTGAAACTTAACGTGAGAAACAAAGGACGTAGTTTCATCTCAAATTAATTCAAAAGGTCACACTGATGTCTCCAAATTTTCTTTGGTCGTGTACATATAGCAAAAGAGATAACCAAGGGGCAATGACGACTCTTGAAAGTTGACAATATCGCTTTTCCTCCATTTTCAGGTGAAATTTCAGCAGTGGTTCCGGAAAAAACCACCACGCCACGCTACTAAAATCTGGCTCCGAAATCCGTGAATGTTCAAAAGTTACAACAGCTATAGGTATTGAATTCTAAGACTCATAAGTTCTAGCAGCATATCGACGGTATAAATCGGCAATCACAGAACTCGTTCGCGGTGTCTAAAAATCTCCGCCTCTATTAAATTTGTTTAAAGGAGAACAAATTGACATCATTCCTTAAAGTTTTTTCAGAATTTCACGGCAAACCACGGCAGTTCTAAAGAATTGCCGTTGAGTAGTTTTCCGTTTAAAAAATAAAGTATGGCAGGAAGTCTATGCGACGTCCGAGTTATGTGATTGCCGACTTGCATCGTCGATATGTTTGGAATTATAAAAACCAAACAAGAGCTTATTTAGTTTATTAATAAAGGCTACATTTGATTCCAGTTCCTCTTATGGGATGCCTGGACGTGCGGGAGAGAGAGTTCATGGTGGGAGAGAGATATCTGCAACTACTGAGAGAGATCGCACGTGATTGGTCGCATCAAGTCATTTTGCTTAACCCTACTTTTTTTTAGGATCAAGTCGCAGGGTTTCAGAAATTACGTTACATATCTTTTTAAGTATCAAAACGAAGAAAAATGTCATAGCTAGAACTTATGACTCTTCGATTTTAACAGGAATTCCAACAATTTGCATATAAGCTCAAGGACTCACTATAAGCTGTACGAACTCTAATTACGTGGCCCTTAATATCAAAACACAGCAGAGGCGCCCCCTGCGTGGAGAAATTTTTTACTTCGCGGAGCTGTAGATAACCCTTAATGTATGCAAAACAATCGATTCTTGGTGAGACATCTGATATCGATATTTTTAATGGATTTAAATGGAAGAAAAAATGTGTTGTCAACTTTCAAGAATCACCACAGCCAAGGGAGAGCACGACTCCATGTTGAGTCCAATTCATTGTGGAATATCGTTCCAATGTTGGAAAAAAATATTCACAATTTTCCCAGTAAATTCGGTTTTTATCGAAGGAAACTCGGCAACGTCTGAAGGCTCATACGGCGTTCTTCCTTAGCACGGCAGTAATCTACAATAATCAAGCATCAAAACACGATTCTGTGACTGGTGCAACTGGCCCATTCTTCAATTTTCAGCCGAGAGTTTTTTAGTATTTCAGTTCAAACTGAATTTTTCTAAGAAGAAGAATAACATGCATGCTTGGATTCAGCAAGAAAGTAGCTTTAAATTAAGCAGCAGTAATTATTCATGATCCAAGAAAAAAATTTCCTGGCGTTAAAATGATCTTTCTTTTAACCAGTGAATACATTGAAAGGACACTATCTTCATTTTTAGTCGATGTTCATTCATAATTTTTATTTTTTGCTACAATAAAGAATATTCAGCCCTTTTTAATATGATTCTTTAAGGCGCATTTTTAACAAACTCATTGGAAATGATACGCTCCTAAGTAGTTTATAACCATTCTTGTACATCTGAAGTAAACATGGGCGGAGCATGCTGACTCTAGGACGACAAAGCTTTATTTCTCTTGGCTATGAGTCATCTTGTTTAACTGCGAGTGTCGTAATGTTCGCATTCTCCTTGCATATATTTTAATTGGAGTACTGAAGTGTTAAAATGGCAAGATTTTTCAACTGGAAAGAGGAGTTTCGGAATATCACTCCGACTAACGAACTTCCAATATCAAGATTTGTGTACAGTAAAACTCGAATTTTTGGTGTTGATACGCATGGGCGTAGCTAGGGGGGTCCTGGGGGGGGCTGTCCCCCCCCAGAAAAACGGGATCCTCCATTCCTCACCCCCACCCCCGCTCTCTTCACCGCAAGAGGTGGTTCCATGGCCCTACCCAGAGAAATTTGCTAGCTACGCCCCTGTTGATACGTGCGGATTATAGAAATACTGAGATGATTTTTTCGCAGAGGAGTTGAAGCATTTAAACACAATTACATAATTAGTTTACATAAATTTCGTTTATTTTTCACTTTGAGTGCTAAAAATTGATGTGAAAATCAACAGAATGCTGCACTTAAACTAATTATGCTGCATGTCTCCGCTCATATTTTATTGTTTGAGCGGAAATAAATTCGATTGAAATTTTCTGTGGAATTTCTTCATGCACCCACTTAAACAAGGCAAAACAAAATTGCATGGGAAATGTTGATCGGTTTTCCATGAAGTAGATGAAACATAATTATAATTATTAAACTTTCCAAATGAGACACACACTTAACAGCTGTAGCCATCGATATGTTATCTAAAATTTACAACGGTTTACGGACAGTAGGTCTAAAAGAAAAAAGGCTACAAAAAAAAGGCTACCTTTTTTGGTCTACAGTCAAAATGTCTGCATGAAAATGCCTATAAAATAGTGTGTATAGGAAAATATGTCTGCGGTATTAAAATGTCTTTGGTTTGACTGCCTACTCCAAAAATGTCAAAGTACGTATTTATGTCGTCTGGTAAGAATCTCATTTGAAAGTGTATCCCCAAAGACAGGACGAGGCTGTGGATGCTGCAGAAGCTGATGCGTAAAAATTGTGAGTCTTATTTCGCGAATAATTGACCCTATAAATATCATGTGTATTTTATATATATTTTATTTATTCTTTTATTTTAGAAATATATTTTATATATTTTCAGTGGCCAACATAAATATTTTGACATTTTCTAAGTGGGCAAACAAACCGTAGACATTTTAATAGCGTAGACATATTAATCTGTAGACATAATTTCAGTAGGCAATTTAATGTAGACGTTTTGACTGTAGACTAAAAAGGTAGCCCTTTTTTTTGTAGCCCTTTTTTCTGTAGACGTACTGTCTGCATACCTTTACAACGATGAAATCTTTTTCCTCGGCTTAAAACGCCGAATAAAACTTACAATGTGATTTTTTTGGAGGAGAGGGGGGCTGCATACAAATTCAGTCATAGGGCAAGAAATCTTGGAGTGATTCAGTACAAGAATCCAGCAATTCGGTTGTGTTTTTCAGCGAGTGTCAGCTAAACCAGACACTTGAAAAGAGCAGTGGTGTGGCGTGAATAATCGAATATCGATATCTCGCCATTTGAAGCTATGGTAAAGAATCGATTACCATGGTGTTCGCTGCGAACACCCTAATAATCGATCTTTTTTCATAGGTTTAAATGGCATAACAATCGATATATCGCAATTCACGCCACGCCACTGATGAAAAGAGCAGCGGCAAGGCGTGAATGATAGATTTGATAGTTCCCCGTTTGAAGCTATGGTAAAGAATCGATTACTAAGGTGTTCGCTGCGAACACCCTGATAATCGATCTTTTTTCATAGGTTTAAATGGCATAGCAATCGATAAATCGCAATTCACGCCACGCCACTGGAGAAGAGGTGGGCTGAGGTACCTCATACTCATCCGTTTTATTATTTCACTACGCTGGGTTAGTATTAGTTCATCGCCTACCTGACATAAGGGCGTAACTATACACTGCAATGAACCCTGTCCCCCGTAAAATTCAATGATTTTCCAGGCTCATCTCAATGTGTGGTTACGCCCTTGTGTCAGCCAAGCGACGAGTTGATGACGGTCACCCTTCTCTAGACACTGACCAGGAATAGTCGCAATTCCGCAAGTCAGCAACACTTTTTTTCCTCCATTTGAGACCAATAGCTTGTGTCACACTTTCTAAATACTCCATCAAAATGTCAAGGTCAAGTGCTGTGATTGGTCCAAGTCATCGAACAAACCAATCACAACACCTGACCTTGATATTTTGATGGCAAGCTTTGATAGTGTGACACAGGCAATTAAAAATGTCAATTTTAGGTGAGACAAACTGCCTCAACAAGAATCGATGCTTTTACGCACATCTCAATAGCCTGTATCCCGCTGTCAAAGTTAACCATCAAAATATCAAGGTCAGGAGTTGTTATTGGCTTATTCGATGACTTGGACCAATCTCAGCACTTGAACTTGACCTTTCAATGGAGTATTTTGGTAGTGTCACACAGGCTTAAGGAGGAAAAACAGTGTTGGTAACTTTCAAGAATCGTCACTAAAGAGAATAAAAAAAACCACCTTAACACACATATCCCTATCACAATATTACGCGCGTAGGACACTAATGGCTTATCAAAAATTTCCAAATTTAACCCATAAAGGAGAAATGATCGTTTTCTTTTTTGACAGTTTTAAACTTCCCGCTCGACAAAAAGCGGAGTGTACTTTTATCAAAGCGGCAATCAAAGTAAATTCAATGTTCTTTGTACTGCAGACCAATTTTCTGGGTGTGCTGAATTTTCCTTAACAAGTTGAAAGATACCGCGCACTAGAGTAAGACATCCATTTTCGTTACGTGAAAGATTCATTGAATGATCCTTTTAATTTCAGTGACCAATTTAAGCGCCGCTGATGGTTTATCGTTTTTCGCGGCAATTTCGAACTCACTCACTACTTTGTGAACTGTATATATTAATTTCACATTCGGGTTATTTCTCAGAAGCGATATGTAAACTATGTATCGTTTATATATTACAAAACAATATGTAAAATATGTAAACTATAAACGTTAATATATTATTCCTTAAATTGGACTTTTCCAGAGTGTTTGAATTATCAATTATCATGCATGAAATTTCGATTAAGAAATATATCCTGAGGTTCTTTAATTCTTATACTCTAGTTGGGATAGGCTTGAGTGCTTACAGTATAGATGTCGCGGCCTATCGTGGCTTTATTTACGATGCGGATTTTACATCATCTTGTAATCGCCAAATTCAATTTTTTCACCACTTTCATCAAACGACGGTAGAAATGAATCGAAAGCTGAATCTATCTTGGGTATCTTGTTAAAATCAGAAAGTTCGCGTGTTTTCAGCAAAAACTGAACTCTCAAGGCATCTGGTAATCGGCTTATTTGCATTCGTCTTAGTCCGATAGCAACAGTTTTCCTAATTTCATCCACCGCCACTTCAGCTTCGACGATGTCACAAATTTGCCAGGTAAAGTACGCCGTGATCAGCTTCTTCCACGCGGTTTTTTCGAGGCTCCCGCTAGAGGTGGGTATGAGACCTGCAAACTCCGGATGCTTGATGATTCCGGGAAGCTTTTCGTACAAAAATTGACAATTTTTGTTGAAATCTGAACCGTTAACCTTTCCCATTTCATTTTTTCGCACCAGTTTCACCAAATCAAATCTGAAGTATTGAGGGAACATGAGCGCTACTCTACCAAGAGTAATCGTATCCGGGAATTGCATTCCTTCACTGGGATTGACAACTGCAGGGAAGGAGTCTGAAATATTGAATTTCCGTTGGAGACGTGCTATCTCCGGAGATGGCGATGATGAAAAACCAGCCCCTACGGACCCGACGAGCAGTCTTAATTCGTCCCGGAATCGTTTAGGAGAAGTATTAGTAACGACAGCAACATTCTTGAGTCGATTTTTGAGAAAGTCCCCATCGAAGTTGAATTCGTAAAACCGGGGGTCTCTTAGTGCGAGTAGCTGATCTATGTTGTAGTTTTCATAATAATCAAGGCCATCCTCACTGTCATAGTAGTAGTCGTCTGCGTGCACAGAAATATGAAACAATAGATTAAACTATTTTCAATTAAGGATAGTTTCTGCCATTTTCCCAAGATGACATACGGGTTTTTTGGCGCATATACACGTGGCATATCACCTTTGCGATCATCTCGACCCCCTATATACGCAATACAGCGCATCGATGGCTTGAGTTGCTTGCCGGAGAATCATTGGTGGCCTCGCTCTGAATCTTTGAAAGTTTGTAGACTAGTTACTGATGCTTCAATGTTTTAGGTTGATTGATTTTCGTAATTTTTTCTTATCGTAAATAATAGCGACGAACGGACTCCGTTATTTAGTTTCTTTTTAATAATTATAAAACCGTGCCGGGCTAATTTAAAAATATTCAGCAGTTCAGCTACCCTCAAATGTGAATATCAATCCTCCGTTTTGTTTTAAACGCCGCCTCAGAAGATCTGTATTCTGTCGTATTTACTTGAGTTTACTGCTGGTTTTTTTTTTTGGGGGGGGGGGGGGGGGGNGGGTATTTTTCACTTCGATTGGGGCGTTGGTAATTTTGGGGCTCTATTCTCCATCAACAGGTCCTGGTTGAGCGTAAAAAAGTTGGAGTTTCAATCACGATCATAAACATCTCGTAGAAAAACACGACGAATGAGAATCGCCTAGAATCGATTATTTTACATGCGTTTAAATGGAGGAAACACAGGATTGCCAACTTTCAAGAATCACCACGAAAGTGTGGTTGCGCCAGCCAGGAGTACAATTAAAGTTATCATAGTTTTTTCCCATGATCGTAATGACAGCATTTAAGTAATACGTTAAGTGCTGAGACAAGTACGAATTGTTAGTGCAATGTTTCACTGAGAGAAAGTATGGCAATTTTTACCAGAAGTATGGTAAACTCTACTTGATTTTTCACAAGATGCTACTCTAGGGTAAAGTTCACTAGACGTCCGGTGGCATTTACTGTACTTTTGGTGATAAGCACTACTAGAGGTAAGGTCTTTGCGACTATATATAGATCCCGTTGATGATTACCATTTTCATATCACTGTCGCTTAAACCATACTTTTTTCCTCAGTGTGTAATGGTATGTTTAAAAATGTTTCGTTTTAAATTTAACTATGTTGGTCCCAAGCATTAACACAAACTAATGAATTTCAACTTGATTATACTTACTATCATCCGCAGACACTGCAGAAAAAACAGATAAGATGATAAGGCCGGTCAAGGTCCAACCCAAATACGACCACGTGCGAAGGCAGCTTATGCATCTTTTGGCCGTTCCTGCCATGATCGAGACTCGAAGTCAGCGTCACCGAGCTTTAAATTGCAGAATAAAATATATTTTTATCAAAGTTTGATAAAAAACCTTGACATGTTGAATAATACAGAAAATAGGATAATATAATTAAATAACTAAGGAACAAGGAGAAAATTATATTCCTGATTTAACAATTTTGTAGTTTAAAAAAGTGTCCGACATGTTTCAATGTAGATTTACAATAAAAAAATGCTGATTTGAGGAGCTTGGAGGACAAGGCGCATAAGTGCAGTTTTTGCAATTTCGAAAAATACGTGTTTGACGTTTCGCAATCAAATGGATCCTTATGGTGAAAAAAAGTTCAGACTGACTTTTCGATGCTATAAATTGGACTTTGAAAGTGAATATTACACAGAGTATGAATTATGGCTAGTTTTACTTGAAATCAGTAATATATACATTTTTTCGAAAACTACACTCATGTGCCGTCCCTCCAAGCCCCTTATTATTTAACCATCCCCGTGGTTGAATTAGCTTTTCCACTATATTGTAAGATGTACATTTGATACATGTTGGACATATGTTTTAAAAATTTAATTGTTAAATCAGCAATCCATATTTTTCCGTGAACTAGGTACGATTTCAGGCTCGATTTTGAAACAACGCGTGTGCCGTGATTTTCTCTAATGCACAAAAGTGCTTTTATATTGTAGTTTCTAATGGCAGAATTTTGTTCATTTATACAAGTGCAATAGACAAGTGCAATCGCCTGCAAAAATCAGTCCACCAAAATTACGCCTAAACGAGCAACCTATTTTCTCTCTAAGAAAGAGTAGAGTATACTAGGGGGTATGCCCCCTGGCCGCTACGCGGCCCAACCCCCAGAGGGTGTTTCGCGCTCCCTTAGCCCCGCGTCGACAAAAGAATGACAAAAAAAAACGTTAAAAGATTATCATACCCGACTCTCATTTGTCCCATATCCCTCTGCCCGGGAGCGATTGGACCAATAAGAATCGAATGAAAAAATCAGTAATTATTTCAACCTTCACGCCAAGACTAAAACGAAACGAAATAGAGCGTTTCGTCGCTTTTGGATAGTCTGTATAGTGCAAAGGAGCATACCTTTGATTCTTTTACCCTACTGACAGCTCAAGATTCAACATTTCCCGCTCAGTTCAAATTTTGTCCCTCTCCCTAAGCTCTCTGGTCTACTATTATATAAAAACACTTGGGTTCTGTTTTCAAAATTTGATTAGAGCGGGCTTGTCTTGGGACTATTACCTGTCAATAACGGCAAAATCTTGTAAATCGGCCCAGTAGAACGCTCAAACAAACTATGACAAAAAATAAAAATGTACATTGTTCAAACGGGAGAATTCGCAACTTTACCACGTAATATAAAAAAAACCTGGGACATATTTTGAAAAACTGAATAAAGCGGGCTAGTCTAGAGACAATTGCCCGTCGATAGCCGCAAAAATCATGAAAATCGGCCCGGTAGAACGCTGGAACTAAGCGTTACCAGTTACGCAAAATTAGGAGGTCTCGGAGCTTATAGTATAGATTGCATGCCTAAATAAGAAAAATTAAAAGAAAAAACTAAGAATTTTCCTGACTCTGAGCGTTTTCCCTGACTATTCCCTGATTTTCCAGGTTGTTTTCAAATTCCCTGGGGGAGTTCAAATGGGGGAATTCGCAACTGTATCACGTAATCTAAAAAAAAAAATGGGTCATATTTTCATAATCTAAATAAAGCGCACTCATCTAGAGACAATTGCTTGTTGATAGCCGCGATAATCATGGAAGTCGGCCCGGTGGAACGTTGGAACTAAGCGTCGCCAGATATGCAAATTTAAGAGGTCTCGGAGCTTATGGTATAGAAAGTAGCTATAAAGTATTGAGCGTTAGTCTGGATCAAATTAAGAGACATTAGGTGTCACTTCTCAGGATCAAAATGAGATTTTTTCATAGCTCAATACTTTTCCAGCACCAGTCCGCATTATAATTTTAGCCCCCCCTCCCCCAAAGTTTGAAGAGGATACAGAGAGAAATGCATCGTCGGTCTTGCAATAGGTCCCTACCCAACTTTCTATATAGAGAGTTTCAATACAAAAGTTTGGTTGATACGGAAAGTAAAACACAAAATAACACTAGCCTTTGGTTAACAATTTCAAGAGAAAATGCCAGCTAGCTTTTCTGAAGAAATTTACTAAAAAAAACGAGTGGTGAATGTTAGCGATTCAATCGAAGGAATGCATTTTTCCAGTCCCTCCATTGCTCTCTGCGCAAATTCACCGCAAACTGTACCAAAATCAACACAAAATTTGTGTTGGTTTGTGTTTCACTTCCTATATTAACCAAAAGTAGCAGAGGAACACAAATACGTTTATCAGTGCAGTCGAAGTTACAAAGTCAATTGCATGGAAACAATTCGTTTGGTACCGATAAAAATCAATGCTCCGTGACCAAAATTATTGTTCTCACGAGAGTAACATTGTAACTACGATTAGAAAACTCGGTAGTACTTGGAATCCACTTACAGCATATAAAGAGTAACAATTGTTTCCCAACTGTGAATAACCGATTTTTTTCATTGTGGAAACGTTCATGGATAGAAAAGGTGGATATCGTAACTAGGGAAAAATTTCTTATTTTTTAAAACAAGAATGGAGATGTTGCATGAGTGAGGAATTTGCGATTTGACTGTTGATTCTTACGTAAAAGTTCGCGAGAAAAACGATGGTGCCACTGGTTTTCTCTGAAATCAACTCCCAATTTAAGCTCAGAAAAAGCTCTCAAGTTGAGGCCAAAATGGAGGGGATATCCCACGCTATCCTGAGAGTCTACATCTACATCAAGACAAACTCTCCATGCAAGGATAGGGAGCAAATACATTGACAGGGCTGCCACTTTATTTGGGGACTCCAAAACTGAAAACACGGCAACCCTGCTATTATACTTGCTCTCTATCTTTGCATGGAGAGTTCGTCTTGATGTAGAGGTGGACTCTCAGGATAGCTTGGGATATCCCCTCCATTTTGGCCTCAATTTTCTTTTGAGCTTCGAAGATGATTTCAGAAAAAACCAGTAGCACCATCGTTTTTCTCGCGAACTTTTACATAAGAATCAACAGTCAAAGTGCAAATTCCTCACACATGCAACATCTCCATTATGGCCGGTTTTTTGTGGCGTACAAGTGGCAACACCCGATGGCGCTTGTTAAATGTTGGATTTCCACACTTCTACCGGCTGAAGAGCTCAATTTTACATACTCTAGTTGGCTTAGAGAATTGAAAAGTTTAAAATTTATTTTTTAAATTTTTTAAAAATTTAATTATCTCAATCACACTTACCAAGAGAATTATTAGAGGATGTGTAATACTTCCAAAAATTCCAATGAATACGGATGGGTGGAGGTTTCGAACTGGGACGAGGTGAGTAGGTATCACTGTATCACTGAGTGATAAGTTCGTTTAGTGTGCCGGAGTCGGAGGGGAGTAAACTCTGTTAAATCTTCGCGTCTCTGATGTATCCGTAGCTTAATTTTTATGTGAGCTCTGAAAAGCATGGAGCTAGATAGGCAACAGGGCGCATGCCTAATTAGTGTTTGCGCCCTCAAGTTTCTGGAGTGACGATACGTCCCCTCTCTGTCATTCTCTCTCTCTCTCTAACATCCGACTGGAGAGAGAAAACCCCGAACGTATACAAAAAAGAAAAAGATAAAAATGAAAAGGGCAAAGCGAACATGAGGTGAAGTGAGGGGAAATACTGATAATGTAAAGGTTATCGAAAATCATGTATCATTTGTTTGGGTGGCATTTGTTTTGACCTGCGTTATTTCATACCTAATTTATCAGAGTCAAGAAAGCCGCTTATCAAAGTTCTCTCTCATCAGCGATACGGTACAACATGGATAGCTTCGGAGGTAACCGTAACATTGTTTATTCCGTGTCGATAAAATGACCCGGAGGTTAAGCAAAAGTAGCAAGCTTTAACCTCAGTGATAGCTTCATCAAATAACTACCTCGTGAATATACTCACATCGTTTCTATGCTAAATCGAATGCTTACGTTGTTCCAAAAATAATGAGATTCATATTCGTGCGAGGGAAGATATGAAGCCAACGAGTTCAACATTTACCTACACTCATCTTGAAAAGTAACTCATTAGTTTTCAAACAAGCTCTCGTGTAGCTTATTATGCTCTTGATCACGCAGTAACTTCTGGTCTGTTGAAAATTGATTGCTGTGGAGCACCCTCAACTATTTTTACAAACGTTTTTCCAAGAAAAAAAAACCAACTTCAGAGCCAGATTCAAAATTAAAGGATGTGTCCCATTAAAGAGGGTGTTTTGGCCCTAACTTTGGTCGAAAATTGAAACAGCTAAGAATAATTTCATGTATGGTCAAATTGACTCCTAAACATCTACTCTGTGAGAACTTGTCCTTATTTGAGGTGTTTTTCAAAGGATTTTGCATGATTTACCAGCGAAAAGTAGTGAAGTTTCGCAGTTTTCTCGAATAATTGCTCATTTTCGGTCCTAAAGTAGATTGTTTATGTATCCATGAGCACAAGCGACTACCACTTTCTCCTTTAAATATGTTGTAATGGGTGTACTAAAGATTAACATATTCGAATATGAAAGTGGTAGTCGCTCATGCTCATGCATACATAAACAATCTAATTTAGGACCGAAAATGAGCAATTATACGAGAAAACTGCAAAACTTCACTACTTTGCGCTGGTAAATCAGGCAAAAACCTTTCAGAAACACCTCAAATAAAGACAAGTTCTTACAGGGTGGATGATTAAGAGTCGATTTGACCATACATGACATTATTCTAAGCTGTTTCAATTTTTGACCAAAGTTAGGGCCAAAATACTCTAGTTAATGGGACACATCCTTTTACAAAACTTCACGAGTAGATTTCTTCATAAGGGATGGAAACAGGAGACTTTTCAATGAATGATTCAGGTGCCCCCTGCCTTTGAGAGTACTTGAAAACCGAAAGTCACATGTTTTTTAAAAAGTTTGTTGCCGTTTTGCTTTCAAGTCCCCGACTGAGCTTTGAAACAATCCTATGGAGATGATACAATTCAACAACAGAAATAAGTCGGTAAATAAGTGCACGTAGCAACGTATGTTCATTTGCCTACGCCACTTTTTGGAGGCGCTTTTTCCATTTGTCGCTTTCTCGCTTAGTAATTTCTGACGCAAGTTGATGTTGATGTTCTAACTAAGTCAGAGCATTACTTTTGACCGATAAAAAGAGATTTCATTATGCTTTGACCGATTTTTTCTTTCTTTATTTCTTTCTTTTCAACATGTGTCCTGTACATGTTCATTATTTAAGAAAACAATTCGGGGAAATTCAAAAGAGTTTTGAGGGGAATAAGAAGAGCGGATTAAAACAAATAAATACACATAATAAAAAAACACTTTTTAGAATTATTCTTGTTTTTCATCGTTTTTTCGCAGATTATAATAATCCGCCCCGTCCTAAAGTTGCTCGTCAAATCTAGCTGGGAACTCTAGATAATACGTACATTGCATCTCAAGAATGGCATCTGAGGAATTGACGAGACGAAATACGAGACAAGATTAGAAATTTAAGTTCGAGCAATTTTTTTTTTTTTTTTTGTATAGCTTAAATTGTCAACCCCCGTGCCCCTCCTCTCTCTCCTTGTTGGGCCCATGCTAACTGAAACAAAAATAACAAATTCTAATAATAAATTCAATCAATGATAGTGTTACTAACAAACGAAATTTTGATTGGAGTTCAAAGAAATCATCTCTTCAACCATTTTTGCAATCTAGTTTTTTGCAAATCTGATACATGCATGCGAGGATGCAAATCTGCGCCACGCGCGACTGACCCACAACCTCGCGGAATTCTGACGTGCCAAGGGAAAATGGACGCATTTCTGTGAAACGGAACTATGTACATTACGACGTGAGCCCTGGTATGATGCATGTTTCCTTATGGGCCTCAGGGCTCATGTCTTAATGCACATAGCTCCGTTTGATAGAAATACGTCCAAATGTCGTATGAGCATTCGGACGAAGCCAACTTCTCCTGACGCAATATTTATTAAAGAGAAAACTTATCAACATTTAGCCTTGAAAGTCTCAGACGTTTCGGGGTAAATTGCGAATGTAATTCCCCGCAGAATTAGAAAACAGGTTTCTCGGAAAATTCATATTTTTTAAAAGAAATTTAACAACATCCGATGGTTCGTACGACGTTTTTCCTTAGCACGGCAAAATTGAAGCGCTGGGTGCAGAAAGGGCAATCCTTGGTTGCAATGTCTTAGTCTCAGGATCTCTATTAACGTTTCATCCACTATAATTGAAGCAAATGTGTTGAACTCGTTAAGGTTTGTACTGAATTTTCTTTATGATTTTACAATGCTGAAAACTAAACATTTCAGAGATTTCACCCAATAGTTTCCCCTCTAAAATATAAATTAATAGTGGAGTCTCTGAGACACCGCAACGAAGAACTGCCTTTTCTGCAACCAACGCCTCAATTGACCTCCTTGGAGATGAATAGGACGTATTTGAATGAAAAGGAACCGTATCTTGTCTTGATATGATCCCTAATATGCATGCACTCTTATGGATTTCAGGGCTCACGTCAGGGTGAATATAGCTCCTTTTGATTGAAATGCGTCCTACACTGTCATACTAAGGAAGAACGCCGGATCAACATTCGAGAGTTGCCAAATTTCCTTCGATAAAATGTTTATTTTTGAGGTAGGTTATGAATATTTTTCCTTGAGAGTTTCAGGAACTTCAGGTTGAATTGCGAAATAAATTATCTGAAAAATTGGAAGGAAAATATTTATAAGTTTACCAGGAAATTCGTGTTTTATCAAACGAAATTTGGCAACGCCTGAGGGTTCATACGACGTTTTCCCTTAGCACGGCAGTATAGGGAGGGAGCGAGTCGAGGCGATGTTGAATTTTAACGAGTCCTCAGGCGAACAAAGGACTGAAGGAGAGCCCCGCGCTGAAAGGTAAGCAGGGAATTTACGAGGAGTTTCCACCGAAGATTTAAAGGTTGCGCCGTTGCGGTTGCGTCGCGCCGGTGCCGGCCCAGGTGTGGGCAGTCGGGCTCAACATCCATCACTCTCGAGCGTTGAACCGCAACGCTGCCGTGCTAAGTAAAAACACCGTACGAGCATTTACATGTTGCCAAACTTCCTCTCAAAAAATAATCATTTTTGAAGAAAGTCATGAATATTTTTCCTTGAGATTTTCAGGCTCCTCGGATAGAATGACGAACGAAATTCACTGAAAAATCGGGAGAGCAATATTCGCAAATTCTCCTGAAAAGTCCTGATTTGTCGAGGGAAATTTGGCAACGCCTGATGGCCCATACGGCGTTTTTCCTTTGCTCTGCGCAAAACCTCGGCCAATGAGCGCGCTTCGACGAAAACCGTCCGGTTGCCCTGCCGTGCTAAGGAAAAACGCCCTATGGGCATTTAAATCTTGCCAATCTTCTGAGAAAGTAATTAATTTTGAAGAAAGAAAATATTTATTATTTATATTATTGTACTATATATTTATTATATGTTTTTGAAGAAATAAAATAAATATTTATCTTTGAGATTTTCAGGTTTATTAGATAAAATGAGGAACGAAACCCACTGAAAACTCGGAAAAGAAATATTCACAAATTTTCCTGAAATTCCATGATTTGTCGAGGAAAATTTGGCTTCGCCTGATTGCACAAACGGCGTCTTTCCTTACCACTGCTGAACGCCGGCCGATGAGCTTGCTTCGACGAAAACCGCCTAGCTACTCTGACATGCTAAGGAAAAACGCCGTATGATTATCTGAAGGTTGCCAAATCTCCTACCAAAAGGTTTATTTTTGAAGAAAGTTATGAATATTTAAACTGCGTTAAGAGGAGTCGGACATCGCTTTTCGAAAAAAATTTGGAATTCCTTTTCTGGGGCTCATTTTTTTGCATGTACACGCAAGCAAAACCAGACAAGAAAACTTATCTCTGATGACTAGTTCGGTTGGTAGGAGCTTTCAAGGGAGTGCATGTCGAGGCGTAGTACCATTAAAGCAGCTGTTTTTCTTACCAAAAATTCAAATCAAGTTTTCTGTTAGTCGGTTATTTTCACACGATAGGTACCTTTTCTCAGGTTTTGGTGGATATTTTTTTCAAAAACTTTTTTTTTTGTTTAATTTCTAATGTTTTCCTGCACAATTTAACATGAGGGGTTTCAAAAATATCGTTTTTTAAGTTTCAGGTCTCTTCAAATGTCAACTTAATTAAAAATTTATATTTTAATATTTAGAAGGAGTTTCAGAAATCGAGTTTTCAAGATAAATAAACAACCACGAGTTAAAGTGCTCAGAAAAATGTATAGAGTCAAACAAAATAAAAAAAAATGAAAAAAGACCCTGTAGAACCCGCATGAGAAAAGGTACATTGAAGATGGGTATCATTCAACATTGCCGGGGAAAAAAATTCCGACTCCCCTTAAGCAAAAAGGAACCAAGCCACATCAGCTATTGCCAAATTTACGGCAAATGACAGATCATTCGATATATCGCTAAGCACGCCACGCCGCACTACTCTGACTACAGTCCCTTTATAC